ATGACTAGGGGAAGAGGGCTGGAAAGAAATGCCGCAGAACAGGGCTCAGAGCACACAGTACTCCAAGACACAGTTCTTCATGTGCACAGACTTCAACACAAAAATCAAAGGAGCCATTTCTGGTCCATTCTTTACTACATGAGTCCCAGGTAAGTGATGGAGTTGCCAGTCTGTGTTGGGATTTTGGTTACTGTAGACTCCCAGTATGGAGGGCACTGCTGCAGATACTCCATACAAAAATCACATCTCATTGGGTTGAACCACTTCTCACCAAGGAGGCCAGCTTCCCTGGTGTTGGCAGTTTACAGGGAATTTCATGGCCATTATCTCAGGGGAGTCTCACAGCACAGGGTGAAGGGTGGGATCTGCACTTGACAGACTCTGAGAGGGAGGTGGCTTGCCCAGGGTCACACAGGACCTAGGAGGTGGCAGAGATGGCTCTTGAATTTATGTCTCTTCCCTCCCTGTTCGGTGTTCTTTCATTTCGCTGGAAAGTTCCTGAACAAAGGCAAGAGCTGAAGGGTTTCTAAGAATGAAGACGGTGGGGCTGGGGAGGGTAGAGGCTTTGAGGCACTTTTTATTGGCACCAGCTAATGAAGATGGTCACAGGGGTCACCTTAAGGCTCCTTTCCAGATGGAAATGCTTTCAAACTCTGGGATGAAGGAAGATTAAAAAAAAAAAAAAAAATTCTAGAAAGGGGTTAACCTCATTTTCTCAGATTTAACAAACGTCCTTGGCTGTTGAAAACGGCAAATTTGACACCGTGAATGACTAACGTCCCTTAAGGGGGATATATATGCGTCCACACATGCCCCTGGCAGGGATTTAAACATTCAAAGGCTTTTTCATGAATCCTAAATCAAGTAGATTCATCCTGGCCCTTGATGAAGTCTAAAAGCTGAGCTAGGCTTATGTTAAATCACCCTCTCCGGGCTCTTGCTCCCAGGCTGATAGTCACAAATCCACCCTAATGAGCACTTGTGAAGAAGCCCACGACAGTGCCACTAAATTAAGAGCAAAGGGAGCTCAGAGCAGGGGAGAGGGACTGTTTGCTTTGGCTGGGAAGGTGGCTGGGCCCCAGCCTGCATGTTTGCCTGACAGGGAGGCCTGATAAATGGGCTGCGTACAAAGTGCTGCCTGGTGGGGCTGTGCCATCTGCCGTGTGCGGACAGGCTGGGCCTACTGGCCCTGAGCCCTGGAGGAAGAGGGTCCCCTGCCACCATGTCTTCGGCTTCCTTTGTGGCCCATGGTCACTAAGAAACCAGGATTATTTTTCTTCCTTTAGGCATAAAATCAAACTCTCGAACTTTTGTTTGTTTTGATGAATTGATGAATTACTTCCAGGCTGCTGTTTGTTTGGAGAACAAAGCTCCCCTACTGTAAGAGGGTGGGGGCCGTGGTCACTCTCCTTTTGCTGCTGGTTCCTTTTCCCAAGGCCAAGAGGCAAACACTGGACTACCTAGTGGGCCGTCTTGGCAGCTGTAGCTCTTCAAGACAGCATGGCCCAGTGGAGAGAATGCAGAAGACCTGGATTATCTTGGCTCTGCCATTTATTAGCTGTGTGACCTTGGGCAAGTTACTCAACCTCTGTGTACCTCAGTTTCCTCACCTGTTAAAGGGATTCATAACCTTGGCTCTGTCTACCTTACAGGTGTGTTGAGAGCATCAGATGAAACAATATAAATGAAAAAAATGTGTATAAATGGCAACATGCCATATACATCCTAATAACCGTGCTCCATCCTTCAGCCCAGCTCTCTGCACTGTCTGGGGACAGTGTTAGCAAGAAGTCAACGTTGTGACATAGAGTGTGGGTTCCTACCTCTTCTCTTCTGAAAAGGCTGGACTATAACATCTCTGTGATGTGTACAAAAG